GGGGGCGGGGGGCTGAGCGGAGGAGGGGGGATGTGGTCCGAGAGCGTGGAGTAGGTCAGGGAGCTGCCCTCGTCGCTGCTGCTGATGTACTCGCTGCTGCTGACATCGTTGGTGACATAGCTGCCCTGGTCATCCTGGAAACTCATCTGGGGGCGGGGGGACAGGGTGAAGGTGGCACCTCATCCTCCACCTGCCACCCTCAGAGCCCCAGGACGTGTCCCCATAGCCAGTCCCGGGCCATCAAAGGGGTGCTCTGAGCGCCCCAGGCCACGCTCACCTCCTCGTAGTCATTCTCCGGGGTGAGGAAATCATCCACGATGGTGACCCGGTGTCCCAGCTGCTCGCTCAGCGCGTCCAGGAAGCGGTCGGTGTCGCGGCTCCGCGGGGGCCTGGAGAAGGTGAAGAGCTTCTTCCGCCGCGACAGGGGCGAGTACTGGCGGTGTTTGGGCGACGGCGCCGGGCTGCTGTCCAGGCTCACGTAGGGGTTGGACTCGGTGCTGCACGGCGAGGCCACGCTGCTGTGCAGGCGGTAGTAGCACTGCTGCGACGCCAGCGGCTCGCTCGGCCACGCCAGCCCCGGCCCCGGCTTGCGGACACCTGCGGGACAYAGCCGAGGGGTCCTGCATGAGTGTCCTGCTGTCCCCAGCCTCGGGGGACAACGAGCCCGAGGAGAGGAGTGGAGAGGACAGGGAGAGGAGAGCTCTCCGGGGAAGGGCTGTACCGCACAGCGGCACAGCTGTGACCCCACTGGATTCCCTGTCCTACACACACCGTGACCCCACAGCGTCCCCTGTCCCACACACGCTGTGACCCCACGGGATTCCCTGTCCCACACACGCTGTGACCCCACGGGATTCCCTGTCCCACACACGCTGTGACCCCACTGGATTCCCTGTCCCACACACGCTGTGACCCCACGGGATTCCCTGTCCCACACACACCACTGCCCTCCTGCAGATGATGCTCTGGGGCCCTCTGTCCCTGAGGTGCCCGCAGGCGGTACCTGCAGCGTGTGGCAGCTCCGTGGCCGGGGGCGATGTCCTGTGCAGGGCAGTGTTGCCCATCTTGCCCGCGAAGTTGCCGATCAGGCGGTTCTCCAGCTCCGCATACACAGCCGACATCTGGGAAAGAACGGGGAGCTGCTGCCATGCCCCGATCGAGGCAGGGCTTGTGACACCTGCCATGTGCTGGGGACAGGACAGTCCCCACGGACCAGGCTGCCCAGGGAAGCTCTGGCTGCCCCTGGATCCCTGGAAGTGTCCCCAAGGTTGGATGGGGCTTGAAGCACTCTGGGACAGTGGAAGGTGTCCCTGCTCATGGCAGGGGTGGCACTGGATGAGCTTTGAAATCCCTTCCACCCCAAATCATCCTGGGATTCTCTGACCCACCAGTGCTTGTCTCACTCTTTAAAGGGGGCTTCACCCCAGCCCAGGCTGCTCTGCTCTGTCTGAGCCGCCCCAGAGCCTCTCACTATTGAGGCTGCAGGAGGACACCAGCAGACATCAGCCTCATTTAAGGTGACTAATTGCCCATGGAGGTGACCTCAGAGAGGGGCTCCRGGGCAGGGACACTCAGCCACCAGCAGGTGTCAAATCGTTCCCCATTCCCTTTTCAGGAATCAAACTGCCAGCCCTTCCTGTGGACACCACACCCGCACAGGCAGGTAAAGCCCCTCCAGAGGTGTCCCCCGCCCCGTCACACCATTTTGGGGTTGGGAGTCTCCGGGAGGGACGTGCCGTCGCCAGCCTGTCTCTCTCCAGGGATCAGGCGCACGGGGACCTCCACGGTGTCGCTGCCTGCGGGAGRAAGGGACAAAGCAGTCACTCCTGTGCCTGTGCCCCAGCTCCCGACAGCCCTGACCCATCAACATCCCCCGTCTCTTGCTGGGACCCAGCTCCCGGCCCTGGGGGTCTCGAGGGAGCAGTGTAACGTGGGTTTAAGTTCAGCACAACAATTCCAGGCTGCTCCGCTCTTCCCCCGGGGCAGCTGAGGACAGGGCTGCTCCCCACAGCTGGCAAACATCTGCCCAGACACGGCTCCCCTCCAGCACACACAGCTGTCGGCTGCTCTCTGCGCTCTAATCCCCGCCAGAAAAGCTCCTCGGAGCCAGGTTAGAGGATCTTCCCCCGGGCAATGTCTCAGACCCCCCTGATGGCTGAGGAACACCACATGGCCCCGAGGTCCTGCAGGGAGGTCATGGGGAGGTCATGGTGGGGAGGTCGTGCTCAAGAGCACTGGTCAAGTGTCCTTCACCATCAGCCAGGAGCCACGGGAATGTGCAGGATGCTGTGTCCCCTGAAGGGAGGGAGGGCTCATGCCATGTGTGGGGCTCATCAGGAACCCCAAAGTGGGGCCCTGAACCATTATCTCCTTCCTCACACAGATTTCACAGATGCAGTTTTCCCTGTGAATTTGATGGAGTCCAAGAATGTTCAGAGGGAAGCCACAAAYTGTCCCCCAGCAGGGAGGGCCCAGACCAGCAGGAGCAGTTCACATCTGAGTAATGGAAGGGACTGGAAACACCACCCAGCCTCTCACTGAATTGGTCCTTTAATTGTGGAATCTCCAACCCTGGAAGTCCAAGGAACACATGGATGTGGCACTGAGTGCTCTGGGCTGGTGACAAGCGGGTATTGGGCACAGGGTGGACTCAGCAAACTTGGAGAGCTTTTCCACGCTAAATGATTCTATGATTCTGTGATCCTGTTTTTGAAAACATGGATTTCCAGCCGATGCCTCAGTGCTGGCTCTACTCTGACCTCCACTTTTGCCTCCATCTTTTCCCATCATTCATACTTAGGAAYAGGTCAGGAATTTGGCTTGGGGCAGAGCAGAACACTGCAGGCACAACCCCAGGTCTCAGCCCCCTCCCCCCAGACCCCAATCACCCACCTGCTGCCCCCTCCTCGGGTCGGGGGGTCCGGAGGCTGCCCCGGCACAGGGAGGCCCCTCGGACGGAGCTGCGGTACCGATCCTCAGCTTCTGCCTCGGCTGCAGCAGGAAACACCTCTGTGAGGCACAGCTGGACCCCACAGCTCCCCATCCCTCCTCATCCCAGCACAGGTACCCCAGGAATCCTCAGGGCCCCCCCAGGCCCATGGGACTCATGGCAGCTGCCATTCCCAGGTAGCTGATCGCTCCATCCCCAGGGAGCTGAGCAGGTTCCAGATGCTCCTGCCAGCACAGGGCAGAGATGGATACCCAGAGATGGGACATCCAGCCACTTCTTCCAGCAGGATTGCCATCCACCAGCTCATGGRGCTCGTGAAACTCCAGCCCTGAGCTGGGCTGTCCCAGTAAACCCTTCCTGCCCTCAAGGRAGGAGAAGGAAGTGGCGCCAGCGCTGGAATGCTGCTGGAAGGAYCACATTGGACACGCATGGTCCATGTGCAGCTCGGTGTGGAAACTCAGAGAGGCTCAGGATTACAGCAGCACGGAGGCACCGGAGCATCCACCCCCAAGGTCCCCGACAGACCAGCACATGGGAGATCTCCAGAGTTGGGAAGCCCAGGGGAAGGACCAGCCCAGATTCAGGGATCTCTGGCCATGGTGCTGCCCAGGCACAGACACAGAGAATGGACAGAAACAACCAGAACTTCTCATGCTCAGAGATGGCCCCATTCACCTGAGACACTGAGAGGAGCCAGGCACCAGCCTGGAACTGGGAACAACAGCCTGGGACAGGGAGATGAGCTCCCGTTCTTCCCTCCTCCCCTGGCTCTGTATTCCTGGAATACAGCTGCAAACTTCTTCATTTATGCACTAATTACAGGGCATAAATTYTTGGGAATCTACAGTCCATGACTGAGCCATGATTCTGCACACACCAAGCAGAGGGGAYTGAGTGCAAATCCAGTGAGCAGATCCAGCGTGCCTGGAGCACAGGATTCATGCACAAGAGAAAGGATTCACATCAGGACTCGGAGCTGTTCCTGTTCCCTGCTGAAAGCACTGTGTTCCTCCAAAAACCTCTCTTCAAGCAACACCTCTTTTACCTTTTCTGAATCTAAAATCAATGTAAATCGCTCAGAATAGGAAAATTTGGACGCAATTAAGAGCCCAAATGTATGGAATAGAACATTGCACTCCAAATTTGTCCTCACCAGCGCACTGCTGGCTTTGTGCTGCCACAGAACAGGGTGATGGTGATGGTGAGGGGACAGGAGGACCAGGGAGAAGGGGCATCACCAACTGCCTTCTGTGTCCTTTTGGGAGAGCAGCAGCACAGTCCTCACCTCGTCCAACCACAGATGTTGTTGTGGCATCCCAAGGGACACCGTGTCACCTCTTGTTTTTCCTCTCCAATCTGAACACTGCCCTTAAATCATATGTTCCCTTCTTGGACTTCCTCACCTCTAACGATTTGAGCAGCTTCCCAAAGCTTTTGTTGGCAGAAAAGCCTCCCAGGTGCCATCTCTCAATGAAGAGTTTCATTCCAAAACTACACAGCTCCCAGCACCCATCAGGACACGATGTGTCCATCCTGGAGCAYGGGGACTTTCCTCTCACCTGCCAAAGCCTTGTACCCCAGAAACCTGTCAATCTTTTGCTGGCAGTGCTCCTGCTCCTCGTAGGTCAGCAGCTGGTAGATAAACTGCCAGAGGACTTGCTTGGCTGGTGTGTCCAGCACCGGGTACACATCCACAATGAGAGTGTCAATATTCCTGTAAAACAGGGAGAGAGGGCTGGGCAGCGAGAGCATCTTCACGGCACGGCCACGCCACGCCACTGCCCGGGGCTCTGCTGATGCCCAGCCTTGGCTTTGGCATGGACTCATTTCTTCACTGCAGGGACTGGAAGCCCTGTGGATGTGGCACTTGGGGACATGGTCAGTGGTGGCCTCAGCAGTGCTGGGGGAACRGTTGGGCTCGATGGTCTCAGAGGGCTTTTCCAACCTAAAGGATTCCATGATTCTGTGAGTAAGAGGGGTGAGGGAGCACCAGAGAGCAGAGAGAAGCTCTGGAAAAACCTGAGTTTCGGCCAGCTGCAGGTAAACAGGCTGAGGGAGGAATGCAGCAGGGAGKGCTGCTGGGCTGGGAGCTCCTGGGGTCAAAGGCTCCATCTCATTTTGGTGTGCAGAGGTGGGAAAAGGGCTGTTGGGAACAGCAGAGCATCCCATGAGGGTMGAACAGCCTACAACAGGATGAAACTCTCCCCTGGTACAAGGTRCCCAGAGAAGCTGTGGCTGCCCCTGGATCCCTGGAAGTGTCCAAGGCCAGGCTGGACAGGGTTTGGAGCAGCCTGGGACAGTGGAAAATRTYGATGCCCATGGCAGKGGGCAGAGCAAGATGCTCTTTAAAGTCCCTTCTAATGCAAATCATTCCATGATCCTGTGACCATGAGCCTCTGGTAAAACACTGCTGGAAGACCAAGGGAAGGCAGGAAAAGAGGTCACAAATGAAATCTGGAGTGTGCAAGGGGATCCGTTTGGATCCCTGCAGCMGGACAGAGGGCATGTGCTCCAAGGCAGGATGGGGGCTCTGCCAGCCACAGCCATTCCCCAGGAATGCACCAGCCAAGACTCCGGGAAGAGTGAGGAGACAAGGATGGAACATGAAGAGATTTACTGGAAGAGGTGGAACAGGATCCACCAGGCTGTCAGGGACAGCCAGGCAACAAGAGAGCCTGCCYTGGGGGGACTGAGGGATAAGGGGTGACCAAATTAACCTCAGAAACTAAAGGATGTGCCCTGTCCACGGGCACGACGCCTGGATGGGGAAACTGGAGGGCACAGGGACAGCAGAGCCCCGTGACAGCAGAGCCCTGTGACAGCCTCCCAGCCCAGCTCTGCCTCTGCCTGATGGGGCTGCTCCAGGCCGGGCCCCAGCAGAAGAGCAGAGCTGGAGTTACCGATGTTGGAAGAAGCCCTCCAGCGCCTTGCAGACGGTGAAACGCTCGGGCGGGGTCAGCAGGTGCTCCAGCTGCTGCGTGAACGTCCTTCCTTGGATCTTGATGCTAGAGGGGAGAATCTCTGCAACCCACTGCAGGGAGGTGAGGGCCGAGGAGCTGCTCGGGGAYTCAGCAGAGTCAGAGTCTGCAAAACAAATATTCCGTCTTTCCTTGGTTTCTTTTGAGGGCAGTGGAGCAGCTGGAGYGCCAGTGGCTGTGCGCTTCRAASKAGGTCAGGTTGGGTGGGGTTTGGAACAGCCTGGTCTAGGGGAAGGTGTCCCTGCCCGGGGCACAGGGGTGAAATGAGATCATCTGTGAGGTCTCTTGTAATCCAAACCGTGCCAGGGTTCTGTGGCTCTGTGGAGCTGCTGGGGGTGCTTTTAGTGTGCCTGCAAAGGAGCTGACGTCCCAGGGCTGTGAGGTGGGACTGAGGGGAGCCCACTGTGGCTCCAGGGGGAGAGCCAGTCCCTAATTCCCTGGTCTGTGCATTATGGAGCAGCACCCCAATAACACAGAGAGCTTCAGCAGCGCAGCAGGGACCAGGCTGTGCCCACGAGGGTCCTGCCCTCAGCTGAGGGGTGCTGGCACCCCCCTGCCCCAGGCACCCTCAGCTCCCTGACTCRTGTGATGCCCAGCAGCACCATCAATTATTGATTCCCTCAGCARGGTAACAATCTCACCAGCCCAGCCCAGCAGAGCCGCGGGATTTGCGCAGCCACCACGGATGCACGGGGTTGGATTACTGCAGACAAGGACACATCACACGCTGCACAGAAAGGACACGGGCGAGGGACACCGAGGACAATCACACAGCAGGATGAGCCCTCCTGGAGAGCAGCCAAGCCTGAGATCCAGCCTGATCCCACAAAGCAAGGAGCCGTGTGCCCCGGGGACAGGAGCATCCCCCAGGCAGCACCTTAAACCTGCTCAGCCTATGGAGGTGCTCAGCCGTTCCCTCCTACACTGGGAATTCGGGAGCTGGTGTGGGGTTCCTGCTCTCCACACCCTTCTCCCTGCATTCTTACCATTGGAGATGTTGACGATGCCCTCTTCCACCACCAAGGTGGGCATGGCCCCRCTGCCCTGCAGCATCGACACCACCTTGTCATGGGAGCAGTTCCTGCGGGCACAGGAGAGCCCAGTCAGAGCTGCTCCAGCTCCAGGAGAGCAGTGAGGACATGGGGCTGGCACTGCCCTCATTTATCCTGGAAAATCTCCTAGTGCTACAGAGAGCCAGAACAGGTTGGGCCCACTGTGATTCCCTGGATTCTCTCCATCTTTTCCTGGTTTTCCCGGTGCTGCACAGGGAGGAGCATCCCGAAGGAGAGCCTGGATCCTGCCCCATGAGCGGGCTCTGGGCTCTGTCTGCACCAAGGAATAGCCATGGAGTGCTGTGGGCACCCTGAGGAGCCTCACGGCACAGGAAGCCAGAGTTAAGCTACATCCAGACCCAGAAAAACACTTTTCCTTTAAATGACACAGTGCTGCAGGTCTGTCCTCGCCTGTCCTAATTCTGCACGAAAAGAAAACGCAAGGTGAATGTAAAGAGTAATTTTGTAGGTGAAAAAGAATCTTGGGATGCCCTTGGAGAAGGGTATGGGCCAGGCTGGGACAATGCCTGCCTAAAACACGGCTCAGAGGACAATCCTCAAGCTGGTCTCTATTTTCTGGCAGTGCTGCATCAGCCAACAGTTCGCTGGATCAGCTGAAACGTGAGAACCTGAGCCCTGGCAGAAGCAGCATCAGTTTAACCTTTAAATATTCATCACTCTCTCTTGTCCTGTAGCCTCCTCTAACCCTTTGCTCTTGGTTTTTATGCACAAAGACCAACCCGAGGCTGCTGCCCTGCACTGGTGAGGGGCATACATCCCTCTGCTTCCACTGCTTTGGTGCACAAACAACGCATAGAAAAATCAATTTCTGGGGGGAAATGGGATTCCCACGTGGCTTTAAGCATGTGATCCCATTGTGGGACTGATTTATGGGCTGGATGGGGCTTTTGAAAGCAGAACCTCAGATGTTTGACAGGTACAGATTAACTCAGAGAGGCTGAACCCGGGGTCTGGGAGTGGGCTGCAGTCAGAACCCAGGTTGTACAGACTGCCCTGCATTGTGCATCCATAGCTGCACACAGCTCAGAGAGGAGCAGGGATGGAGCAAAATGCTCCTCTAAGGGTCAGATTTTGTATAGGAGCACTAAAGGAGCTGTCCTTATGGGGCAGACACCTCATGCCCGGCAGCACACTGGGACCAGGGCCAGCAGCTCCCCTTTTCCTGGCCCAAGAGTGACCACAGCTGTGCCCAGCACAGCTCCTACCTCATGTCCAGGCCGTTGAGGAACAGGATCCTGTCTCCAGCCTTGAGAGCAGCCTTCTCCGCCGGGCTCCCTAAAGGCACACGGACAAAGGGGCCTCAGCTGCAGCACCTCGGGCTGGAATGGGGCTCCCACTCCCCAGGGACACCCCCAGGCAGGGCACCCACTGCCCCTGGGTTATCTGGGTGGGCTGGGACTGCTCACCCAGCTGGGTCCAGCGCCCAGCCAGCTCTGGCAATGCTGGTGTCATTTCAGGACAGCACTGAACACACATTGCCCACTCCTCAAAACAAGGAGTGGATAAAGCCAGTCTAAATTGTACCAAGGATGTTCATTATTCCACTGGGAAAACTCCATCACCGAGCCTCGGGAAAGTCCTTTTTGCTCTTTTCTAGCAAACAGCACTTAACATTTTAAGTTCAGAGCAGAGGTCAATAAGTGACCCACTGAATCTCATGTTCTTACCTGGCAGGACAGACTCGATCCACACYGGGGCATGGCCACGGAGTGTGAAGCCAAAGCTCCTGTTGCCTTTGTAAACTCGCACGGTTCTGTGGGTGAAAAAGGCAAGATTTGGTCCTTGTTTCCTTCCCCAACCYCTCCACAACCCTGTCAGCCCAGGCTCTCCTGAATGCTCAAGTCCCCAGTGCTCCCAGYGTCCCTGCAAGGTCCCCTTTGAAACCAAAGTGTCTTTCAGATGTGGTTTTAAAGAGRAATATGGGATAAATATGTATATATTTACAGGATATATGTAAATAGATATATATAAGCTAAAGACCATCTATTTTCAACCCCTCATGATAGGGAGTTGGAATTGGATGATCTTTAAGGGCTCTTCCACCCCAAACCAGTCTGTAATTCTTTATCACACAGAAGTAGAGGGACAACGTGGTTTAGGGAGCAAAGGTCTTGGAGACTGATGACAGAAGAATTAAATTCCTCCAGGAAATTTTGGAAGGAGCATTAGGAAATCTCCCTGCTGGGAGGCTGATTGGAGCCTGGAGTTGTTCCCACAAGGAGCTGGGGGAAGGCAGCATTACTGACATCATATCCAACCAGATCTTGTGCTGGTAGGGAGGGAGAGAGTGCTGGGAGTGGATTTTGGACAAGGCACACAGAAGATTATCCCGGCAGGAAGGTGGGCTGGAARGTGTGAGCTGAGCATTCTGGATTCCCCAGCTCATGCTCTCGTTGTCTGGGTGGGAGCAGGATCCGCAGCCAGTGCGGCAGAGCGGTCTGGCCATCTGGGCACGGGAAGTGGGTTAATCCCTGTGCTCYGGGGATTGTCCATCCTGCCTCCCACGGCCTGGCACCCAGACACYTGCTGGGGCAGGGCAGCACCACACACAGGCTCAGGGAACCAGGGAATCGGTGAGGTCAGAAAAGACCTTTAAGRTWRTRAAATCYGACTGTCAACCCAGCCCCACYCCTCTGTTCACCACTGAGCCATGTCCTTATGTGCCACATCCATGCRTTTTCTCAACRCTTCCAGGGATGGTGGCTCCACCACGGCCCTGGGCAGCTTGGGACAATGCTTGACAACCCYTTCCATGAAGGAGTTTTCCCTAACATCCAAATTAAACCTCCCCTTGGTGCAACTTGAGGCCATTTCCTCTCATCCTGTCACTTGTTACCCGGGAAAAAGGACCAACCCCCAGCTGGGTCCAACTTCCCTTCAGCCCACTCTGTGCCCAGGGAGCCCAGATCCTGCTGGCACAGCCTGCATCCCACCCAGCAAGGAGCAGACACCCCCTCTCAGCCTGGCAGTGCCACCTCAGCTCCTCACACGGCTCATCCCAGCCAGTCCTGCAGCGCTGAGAGGACACAAAAGGCGTCCCGGAGTTGGGACAAGGGGCACAAACCCGTCCAGCCTTCCAGAGGGAGAGGTCTTTGTCCATCCCGACCCCAGCAGTTTCACACCCAACGCCCCTTCCTTTCCCTGGCACACCTCCCGCATTCCTCCACCCTGCTGCCGCCACCCCGCGCCCCCAGGAGAGGTGGTACCTGCGGGCAGCCCCCGAGGCCACATTGCTGGTGACGAGCGAGGTGGTTTTGCGCAGGCTCTTGCTGAGCTCCTCGTGGCTGCGGGGCACGGAGCTGGCCCGGGTGGACACCAGGAGCCGCTCCTGATGGTCCTCGCTGCGGCTGCGGCGCAGGCGGTTGCTGTGCTCGCTCTTGGAGCGGCACAGTTTGCTGATGAGGCTCTGCGACACCACCTCGTCAAAGCGCTGCCGGTGCTTCTTGGGGATGAAAATCCTGCGGAAAGGAGGCAAGGGAGGAGGGTGAGGGGCAGCTGTGGCACCGAGCCCCGGGTCTGGGCATTGCTGGAAAGGAAAGATCAGAACCCATCGTGTGCGCTTGGCCTCAGGCCGCCCAGAGCTGTGAATGCCAGGGCTGGGGACACCAGGGGTGCTGGGGACACCAGGGGTGCTGGGGACACTGGGAACACTGGTTGCATCTCTTCCCCCATCTCATGCAGAGCTCCATTGGAGCAATGATGTCCGACCCCTTCTCTCGAGCCACTTCTACCCCAGCATATTCTGGGACCCCCAAAATGTTCCTCCCCATCTCCTGCCCTGGGCTCCAGCCTTGMATATTCCCACATTGCAGCTCCCCCCACAGCCAGGCAGGAGCCCCGTGCCCCTCGGGAGATGATGGCGCTGCAGGGACCGTCACGGTGGTGCCACAGGCGAGGGGACACCTTCGGGAACCTGCTCTGCTGCGGTCACCTCCCCTCTGCCTGGCAGGAGCAGCCAAGTGGCCTTTGTGCCCCTGCAARGACCTCCGGGACCCTCAGGGATGCACGGGAAGTGCACAGCAGGATCCCAGGAGGGACAGAGGGAGGAGGCACCGCTCCSACCTGGCCGGGGTGAGCCCATAACCCCAGCAGGCACTTTATCTCTTCCTTCTGCTGTCACAACAGCCAGACCCCGATCACCTTCCCCTACCCTCCGCTGGCACATTTAGGGACTTGTGGAGGAGCCGCTCTCTCCGAGTGTTTCTATAGCAACTCCTCCAGCTGCAGCCTCGTTAGACACAACCATCTCGTGAGGTTCATCAGTCAGCGCAGCTTCGTTAGCGCCCCGCACCTCGCGGGCTGTGACAACACGGTCCCGCTGCTGTCACAGCCCCRCCGGGGTGTGAGCACACCCCCGGCTGCCTGGGGACCTGGAGCCCCATCGGAGCGGGAACTGGGACAAACTGGTGCCGGAGGAGGAAGCTCCGAGGGGCTGCAGCAGCGGGACACGCTGGGGCTGGCGGGGGATCCCACAGGGCTCCCCCGGGCAGCTTCACCAGGGGAACACAAACACCTGGCTCAAGACACAGGACAAGGAAGGAGAGGCTTCAAATCCCGAATCTGCCAGAACAGGGACATCTCTGTTTCCCTCAGCCAAAGGCAGAACTTAAAACAGGTGCTGATGCAGGAGGACAAGTCAGAGCACAAGCCCCGTGATGCTCACGCAGGGCATTTGGTGACAATTTAAAATAAGTGACACATTGGTGCAATTCATGGGCCATTTGTGATTAAACAGCAACTACAAAACAGTAAAATTGTGCTAATAAATAGTTCACCCTGTGGGACAGGGCAKACACAGCCCTGGGGCAGGGGAGGATGTGGGGGTACCCCACGGCTCTGCCCCGAGCTGGGCCCCCAGCAGAAAAAATCCGGGTTCCTCACAGGCAAAATGAGCACAATCTCATTTAATTGRCCAAATTAAATGGGCCCTGCTCATTCCAGCAGGGCTGTCCCACTTTGCACCAGCCRCTGCTTCACCCCTGGGCTGAGGAGCACAGCTCCAGACCCAGCATGGGACACGGCACCAGCGCTGCTCCAGGCACTGCCTTGGTGCTGGGAGCACAGCAGGGCCTCAGCAAGGAGACACCTGACTGACTGCTACCAAAAATCCCCCTAACGCAAGCAAAACAGCTCCCGTGGCTATTCTGCAGGGYCCTGCCATCCCACAGGACAAACCTGGCTGTGCCCGTTGGTGTGGCACCCAAGCAGCACCCAGCTGGGGTTTTCCTCTCCCAGCAAATCCCACCGGGTTTCACGGAGCATGGATGTGCCCACCCCATTTGTGGAGGTCAGCCTGGAAGCAGGGGCAGAGCTGTACAGTGCTGACCTCGTGCCTTCAGCTTCCCCCTCCTCAGGTGCTCCAGGTCAGCCCTAGCTCTGTTTTCTGCTGGAGAGGGATGGGAAAGGCACCCCCACCCCAGAGCCCTGTGCCCGCTCCCATGCCCAGTGCTGCTGAGCCCCGGGGCACCAGCCCTCCTCTGCAGCAGCTTCTGCACTCATCCAGGAGAGCTCAGGCTGCTCAAACACATGGCTGTGAATTCAGGGCATTTTCCAGGCCAGCTAAGGTCCCAGATGCTCCAGGCTGCTTTACCTTCATCCCACCCCAAAGCAGCCAGACCGGGATGGTGGCACAGTGCCACCGTGCCATCCCCTGCCCTCGGCTGCTGCTCAGGGCTCCCTTTGGCGAGTTTGGCACATCTCAGCTTGTGTCACACTCCCATTTCACAGCTCCCAGCTGGGTCACTGACCAGTCCCACCTCTGGGCAGACCAGTCCCATTCCTGCAGCCCACCCTGGCTGGGGCTGCCTGCCCCATTTCCATGGAAAGCTCCCTGTCCCGCACACACCTGTCCTGCGAGGGGCACTGAGCTCCCCCAGACAATCCCACCCAGGGATTCCAGACGCTCGGGCTCAGCGGGGCAGGATGTGTCCCCTTGGGAGGGCAGCAGGGGTGGCTCCAGCCTGGCCAGAGCAGGTGAAGCTGCCACAAGTTTGCTCAGCCAGGGGAGCGAGGGGTCACCAGGCCTCTGTCCATCACACCCCCAGTCCCAAGCAGCACCCCCAGCCCCACATCCTCATCCTCCCCTTGCCCGGCCGACAGTCCTGGAGACAAAGCAGACYCAGACGGGCTCTTCTCCCCAACTCCCCACCGGAGTTCCGCTCGACTCCCCCAGCAGCCGGTACCGAGGGCAGCGGCAGGGCTGTCCCGGGGACAGAGCAGGGTCCCCACAGCCCCCAGAGGCAGCAGAGCCATCCCAGGGACACCCGCGGGGCACGAAGCTCTCCCAGCACCCCCACCCGCGGGGCAGCGGGGCAGGGACACGTACCGAAAATGCCGAGAGAAACTCCGGTCCTTGCCCATTTGTCAGGGTGCGGCGGCAACAAAAGCGAGATGCTTCAGATCCTCATGCAGCTGAGCCTCAGGCTCGGCTCACGCCCACGACACGGCCGCTCCAACGAGCCGATCGCGCCAGCCGGTGCCGCCCCGCGGGTGGCAGCCCCGCCGTGCCCGGGGAGCGCGGCCAGACGGGCCGGAGCGCCGCCACCACCGGGGCTCAGCCCCTCGGCAMAGCCTCCCGCCACTCTGACAGCCCTAACTGCAGCTTCAGCATCKGCCGAGAGCCTCCGCTCGCCTCCGCCGGGCTCCAGCGCCACTTCTGCCCTCCCTGCCCAGCTCTGCCCCGGCTCGCAGCCGCCGACCCTCCCTCTTCCCCTGAAAACTGCAGGCGCTGTAATTTCCAGCTGGAACGATCTCGTAACAGAAAGGAGGGCACGGCTCGGCGCCGAACTCCGGGGGGATGCCTCCCTGGTGCTAATTAGTTGACTTCTAAAGTGCTTGTGTTTAAATTACGTGCTGCAGTACGGGGTGAGGAACCTTAAAGGCAAACGGCAGCAGGRGTGCGGATTTTGGGCGCGGAGGTGGAGCTGCCAGGCTGGACCAGGAGCAGGARCAGGACCAGAGCCACGGGCCCAAACCCCCTCACGGAGCATCCTCTACCCCCAGGGTACCACAGCAGCATTTTTCAGTAGGAATAAAAGAGAAAAYCCTTCTTTAATTTAAATAACGCCATCTTTAAGCTCATCGCTGGCGTTTGATGAAGAGGATGTGAAGCTTCCCAGAGCTGCCAACATCACACGCAATCTCCAGGTAGTAGCAAAGGAAGGAGAAATGAAAAACGTATGGTTTAGTCCCAAAACAACTAGCAAAGATCTGACCTTGAGTCTGTCAGTTGTGCAGAAAAACACGTCCCAGTGTGGATTAAAACACTGAGCTACACTTGGATTATGTCTGAACTGTGCTGTGGAAACAGCTACCGGTCCCGAAAAGCCCCGCTGGTCTGGATAAATGCTAAAATCTGGGAGAGACAACTGTTCCAGGCTTTATCCTTGGAACGGGAATTCTGCTTATGAGCCCCAAATTCTCAAACCTCATCTACCCGTGTGTGTCGGAGGGGGATCACAGCCCCGGCAGCTCCCACAGCTCCGGGGGATTCGGAGCCTCCAGACCCTCGAGTGGGACTCGCTCCAGCCCGGCAGCAGCACGGAGCTGTGATTTCCATCCTCGCTCTCCCCGGGATGGGAGGCTCTGCAGTCACTCATCTGGCTGCAGATGTTTTGCAGATGGGACCACKGTCATCAATCACCGGGAATGAAGGTGCTGTTCCGCCCGGSAGTGYGGGCAGGCTGGGATGCAGTGGCCGAGCACCGGGGCCAGGAGCCCCTCGCAGCCCTTCCCTGGCCATCCCACTCATCCCTGGGGCCAGCCCAAAACCCCAGACAGCTTGTGGAGAGGGTCACCCTCTCCTGACACAGCCCTGCTGCGGCTCCAGTAACGATTGATCAAAGAATCCCCCGGAGCAGATCCACACCCCGTACCCGTCAGCACCCCAGGGTGCCCCCAGCTGYCCCARACCCACTGTCCCTGGGCCCAGACCACGCTGTGCACCAAGAGCTGGTGGCTTTGTCCTTGCCATGACAGGGACGGGCATGCCCACACCTCGGAGGACACGGAGACCTTGAAAGAAACCCCCAGAAAGGCTTTTCCTGCAGCTCCACTCTGCTTTCTCTCTTTTCTTTAAAACACTGGAAAACTCAGCCTAAGTAACCACTTCCCAAAATAAAAGTTGTGACTCCAGCAGGGTGCAGGCGAGCCAGGCTGATCCCATCTGCATCCCAGCCAGAGTTTGATTTGCCAAAAGGAATTTAATCTCCTATCAGGAGATTTCGCACCGAGGCATTTTGGTCATGACCTATTTGAACTCCGCCAATAAAAAAGGAACCCGCTCCCAATTGTCTCACTGGTGACACGTTTTGTTTCCTGCTGCCCTAATTCCCTTTTTTTTTGGGCAGTTGAGCATATGCTGGGCCATCAGATTAGGGATTTTTTTTTTTTTTAATGGAAGCAAACAAGAGCTGCTTTTCTTTCATTACCGTCCTGTGATCCAGGTGGTTTTTCAGGAGAAATGCCAGGACCATGGACAGGAGGACAGTGTCCATGTCAGCATCAGGGACTCAGGGGTCTCTCATGTCCCATCCACATCCAGGAGGGCTGGAAAGCTCCCCCCAGCCTTGGACAAGTGGGTATGAGGAGGGGTTTGAGAAGCAGCACAATCCATAATATATAAATCCTGACGGCTAAAATGAAATTTCTGATCCAGGGCCGGTCACAGATGGCTGGAGCAGTTTAATACGGGAACATGCCAAGCAGTTTTATTGCCGTGAAAAACAAGCTGAGACAAATAGATTGTGTTGGGAGCGTTATTAACACGGACCCKGTGGAATTTCTCCCACAATAAGAGAGCTCCTGATGGGCGGCGATTTCAGCTGTGTCAGGCAGGGATCAAAGCGGCTGCGATGGCAGCGGGCTCAGCCCAGCCCAGCGCGGCACCCCTTGGCTTCTCCCCGGGAGCAAAAGCAGCGAAACCAGAGCGGTAAAGAACAAACTGCCTCAAAGTGTCCTCCCTGCAGCACTGAAGCACAGCACGGCTCGCAGGAGACCCAGGACAACATCTCACAAGCTGAACAGAGCCAGAGTTATCCCCTAAGGATGCAGCGGAGGTGAAGGGCTGGATGTCACACGCATCCCTCTGTTCCGAGCCAGGTTAACAGGACAGTGTGGAACCATCAAAGCCAGGTTTTATTCACCAGCACGAAGGGGAGAAACGGGTGTTTCCCACCAATTCTACCGCAAACAGATGTTTTTAACCTAAACGGTGCTGCCAGGAGCTGGAGCATCCCTGGCACGGCACCACCGGGAAAACGCGCTCTGTGAAGGGAGACAGTGCCCGGGATGTGGGGATGAGCGAGTGCCACCGCCCCGAGGGAGGATCCCCCCTGTCCCGCTCGGCTCCGAGGGTCACCCCTGTCCCCAGAGCCCAGGGACGGGCTGGCGGTGGTGGCGGCAGCACTGCAGAGCACTGGGCGCAGAGCCGGCACCGCCGGAACCGCAGCTCTGCCCTGGTTTGAAAGCAGCTCAGAAATCAGAGCAGCTCCGAGGGATGTGACCCCCTGGGACCCCGACCGGCCCAAAATAACCCATCCCCTCCCCAGCCCCGGCACGGGGAGCACAGGAGACAAACCCCGCGGTGCCCCGGGGMCAGACCCGGGCTCTGGTGTCGCAGRTGACRGAATAACCCAAATTAGAGCCTCCCCCTCCTGGCGGAGTCCGTGAGCGGAGCAGCTCCGAGGCAATACGGATGCTAAGAGTTAATTAACTTCTAGCACACCTTGTTTTTTGCAGTGCCAGGGGCTGCTACATTCCAGAATTAACCTGATTTAAACCCATTTCCCTCACTCCCAGGAAAAGGTGCGTTCTTTACTCACCCGAGACAGCTCATCTTCCCCCCTGGCAGACGGATTTCAGCATCCTTGGGCAGAACTACAACTGTGCACTTTGCCTACACACATCAGCCATATGGGCAGGGGATGGGAGCGGGGAGGACCCTGCACAGCACGTGCATTATCCCTGCTATCCACAACCAAGCAGATGAAAAAAATGTCAGCAAATTAAAATCTGCAGGAGCTTAATTCTGGGCAAATGGGATGAAATCCATTTGAGATAAAAAGAAAGAAGGAAAAAAAAATCCAATACTGGAAAAGCCCAGCTCGAGGACAGAGGAGTTCTCGTRTCTGCAGCCCCGGGTGGATCCGTGTGCTGAGTCGGGGGGTCTTGGGTTACGCTGAGGCGCAGCACTTTGCAGGGAGCACGGCAAAGCCCGGGGGGAGCCCAGGGAGGGGACAGCAGGGGAGGGGACAGCAAAGGACAGCCGGCAGAGGCAACAGCACAAAAATAAATACAGCTGGTGCAGAGAAAAGATCCAATCAGGCCAGCGCGAGGGTCAGTGGGAGACGGGGACGYAGCAGCGCCCGGCCCTGCGTGACAGGGGACACACGGGCACACCCAGCCAGCCACACCGTGCGCCCGTGCCAGGGCTCAGCCACCCGCCCGGGGCTGGAACAACGGCGGGGACGCTTGCTGGCATCACCCCAGCATCCATGGCAGAACCTGGCCGATGGCACTGCCATCGCTGCAGGAAGTGGCTCATGCCAGCCCTCCCAGGGCTCTGCAGGACGAGGGGCATGGATGAGATCACAGGGCGGTGCAGGCTGTCCCCCACATTTCAGGTGGGAGATGTTCTCCCCCCGGGAGAAATGGGCACAGGAATGCCCAGGCTACCTGATGGGTACTCCCCACGTCACAAATCCTCCCTGGGGTGATCCCACAGGACAAGCCCCAGGATACTTGCTGGGTAAGGTCTGATGGGCTCTTCTGCCCAAACTGYACCCACATCACTGCCCACGGTGGCTGCCCTGTGCCCCAGGACAGCACCACAGACACACCAGCACCCCCACAGTGCACCTCACCCACAGAGCCAGGACCAGAACCGGGACACCCCCTGCATGAACCCCCTAAGGCCCTTCCCCAGCCCRGGGTGCTACCTCAGGGTACAGACCCCGGCTGGAATCACCCAAGAAATTCACAGCACCCTAAATCCAGAGCCCCCAGGAGCTGCTCACAACCTTCAGTGAGAGTGAAAACAGGGACAGCCCTTGCTCGGCAGCGAAACTGTGGAATGGGAGACCCCAGGATGAGCAGCTGGGATCAGGCACAGCAGCACACCCAGCACTGCCCCCAGCACCCGCAGCCGGGAAACCTGCTCTCTGAGGCACCTTTTTTATTTATTTTCTTGACTTCATTTCATTAAGATTAGATGGTAAATCTTTCCCCTGGGCTAAATATTTCATTTCCATTAAACCCAGATTAGCTGCCAGATCCACGGCGCCCCTCGCCGCAGCCCTGGCGTTAACCTTTCACCCGGGGGCAGGGGGCAATCAGGGGGTTGGACCCTGGTTTTTGGGGCGACCACAGTGTGGTGCTGATCCTGGCATCACAGGCTGGGCATGGGGAGAGCTCTGAACAGCAGAACCAGGTCCAACCATGCTCCCCTCACTGACACATGGATTGTTGGGATGGGGACACCCTGGGGGGCACGTGCTGTGCCCCCCACAGAGGGGCTTGGGTCCGGAAGAAGATTTGGACACTTATTCAAATCCCCTCTGTGGGGGGAAGTAATCCTGCATAATTCCCCAGGGATGATGACAAAGGGGATATCTGCAGCATTTGAGGTATTTTCATGGATCTTGCTGKGGAAAAGAATTTTCGTGAATTGTGAGTGGTGGGGGTTTGTTTTTTGATTTAGTTTGGGGTGATGGCTCAGGCCTGGCTCGGTGCCATCCATCCCTGCCCCCAGCCCCAGCTGTCGGCAGGTCGGGTCCCTCCAGGAGGGGGCACAGCACTGGCACCTGGACAATCCCTGCAGGGGTCAGTCCCATCGTCCCCAAGTGTGGGGGGCTCTGGGGGACCCACCTGCAGTCACAGCASAGCGAGGGGACACTGCAAGGGCAGGGGCCCCGACCCAGTCCCCCCACCCTGCACATCGCCAGGTCGCGGCACAGACCCMGCACGGGGACGTTGTTATGGAAACTGTAATATCTTGCAATTCCTCTGATTAAAGCAGGAATTGGAAAGCCGGGCCCGGAGCGAGGCCAGATGGAGACCTGATTCCCTAATGGCCATCGTCTCAGCCTGGCCGTAATCCCACCACGTGTCCCTGTGCCAGCACCAGCTCCGGCCCCAGCTTTGGCCACGCTGCCCGAGAGCAACAGATCCCACATGGCACGGGGCTCCAGAGGTGCTGGGGACTCTGAGCCCCAGSGCAGCACTGCCAGAGCACCCCAGCGTGTGTGACCTGTCCCCAGCACCCCGTGCAGCTCATGGCCCCAGCAGASACCCCCAGCCCCCCTGCCAGAGCTACCAGCAGCCCTGGCCAAGCTCTCGCCTGCCGCCAGCTCTCGCCCTGCAGAACTCAGATTATTTTCTGGCCAGGCTTTTGGAGACTCTCCAGTGGCTCTGCAGCTAATCCCATCTCCCTGCCAAATCACAGCCAAAAATGGGAGCCATATCCCCTGCTGCAGGTCCCCCACCCACCCTGGGCAGGAGGGCACAGGGGCGCTGGGTTACAGTGCCACCAAGCTCTGCTGAGCTGTCCCTCGGAGAGCGAGCTGGCACCTTCCCTGCAGGATCCTCCCAGCCTGCAGTGCCCAGCCCTGCTCCYCYRTCACCAGCAGGCACAGRGGCCATGTTTGATGGCACCAGGGCAGCGTGGGGCTGGCCCCTCRTACCTGATGCTGTCGATCAGGTGCTGGTGGGACTCGTGGCTGAGCGCCATGCACAGGGCGTAGGCCAGGCACTCCACCCTCCTCTCGGCCGCGTACTGCTTCAGCACTGAGAACACCTTCTCCTTCAGCTCCGGCTGGTCCCCGAGGATGGCATCCACCTGCAGTGGGGGACAGGAGAGTGCAGGGGCTCTGAGCAGGAGAGCAGGGAATGGGGGCAGGGGGCACATGGAAAATGTGTCAGATTCCCTGCTCAGCCAAGGCGGAGGAAGCCACACAGGGAGGAGAGGGACATTTCAGACAGGAGCTCATCTCTGGTCTCACACATGGCTGCACAATTGCTGTTCCAAATATTCCACCAGAGCAGTGGCGTGACCCCAAATCCCCAAGCTCTACTGGGTCACAAGTGGCCCTGCAGGAGCAGCTCTGGCACTGCTGGGGTGGGATCAGTCTGGAGTCAGCCTGGCAGAGGACACTGCAATTGGCTTTTAGAGCTATTCAAGCTCCATGCTTCGTGCATCACTCCCTGATTCCTCCAGGCAGCTCTCTCCTGCCCTGAGCACTGGGAAGCTACTGGGAATGGGGAGACAGAACATGAAGGTGAGTGCCAGCCCCGGAAACAATACTGACAACTGCCAACCGCTGTCCCATCCTCTCCCGGCAGAGTAATGAGCTAATTATTATCAAGACAATTACCCTGCATGGGGCCCTCCTTATTCACCTCCTCCCAGACTGGTGATTGCCCCTTGGGCAGTAGGAGCTGGTCCCTCACCTGCAATGCTGGTGTGGGATGCAGGAATTCCCTGTGACTGCCTTGCTGTACCTGTGCATGTTGGGTTTTCCYGAAAGGTGATATTTTTGTGCTGGCAGCAGGTTTAACTGCCAGGTTTAACTGCAGGAAGGGGAGAGCAGCCCCTCACCCTTCCCTGGGGCACTGGGGATGTGTGCAGGGCCCTGTGTGCACCCCTCTGGTGGCACTGCCAGGGAGCCAGCAGGCATCACCTCCTGAGGAATGGGAAAAGACATTTCTCCCAGGTCTTTGCCCCACTTGGCATCTCCATGGGGAGGCCAACACCAGCGCCAGGACCCTGGCACAGSCCCCTGGTGCTGCCGGCTCTGTGCAGGTGCTGTGGGGCTCCCAGCAGCAGCAGCACTTCAAGGTTACCAAATCTGGGGCAGCCACAGCAGTGGTGTCCCCTGGGCTGGCTCGTGAGCACGGTCCCCAGGTCCAGCACAGCACTGACAGACTGTGGTGTTCCTGGGAGCACGGATCCCACGGGGCTGCTGTGAAATGTTTGCCCGAGTTGAGACGGCAGAGCTTGGCGGGTGGGAAYKGCAGAATCAYGGAATGATTTYGGTTGGAAGAGATCTCCCAGATCATCGAGTTCAACCTGTGACCGATCCCCACCTTCTCAACCAGACCAGACAGAGCACTGAGTGCCMCAYCCRGTCATTMCYTGGACACCTCCAGGGATGGGGACTCAACACCACGGGGGTGCTGCTACCTGTCATGCAGTCCCCAGCGTGTCCCTGAGCACACAGGGGATAAGAGAAGGCACTGAGCTGGGACTGAGACTGTGGTGATGCCCCCAGGATGCCGGGACACTGGCACAGCCCAGCTCCAGCCCTGCCCCAACGCCACTGACACGGACACCACTGTCTGCCAGGCAACCTGGGGCTCTACCAAACACACGAGGCTGGGAAAAAGTGACCTGTGGGCAGCGCAGGTGTGAAATACAAACCACCAGCACCCTCGGACCTTCCGGCCCCGAGGCGGGCGGGGAGGAGCACCTGGGTGCTTGCAGCATCAGCAGCACCCCCAGAGCCGGGGTGCCAGGTAAACGAGGGGGKAAAACACCCCACTGGCTTTGGGATTTTCTACATCATATATAAAAACAGAAGCCGCKTCAAACATCTGTGCTGTGAACTCCCTCTGGAGWGGCATCTGCCAGCTGAGCTGTGCTYCAGCAKCCAGRAGCCAGCAGCACGTGTGCTCTGCGTTCCTGCTTCTGCCCAGGCTGCTCGGGGCTGTCYCGGGTGTGTTTGTAGGGCTGGGAAGGGAGGGGACAGAGGTGCTGATGGAGGTGCTCACAACACCACAATAGACTTGCTTCCTGTGATCAATCCAGGAATCTTTTACTCGGCTCARTGCGGCTTCACGAGATGGAGGCAGCATGGAACAACAGCCACTCCTCATTAATCTGCTGTAATCAGCAGGTATCTGTTTCCCACGCCCATGAATGCAAACCTCAGTGTGTATTTGTGAATCTTTAATGGAGAAGCTGACTGAGGGGATTCGCCTGATACCCACAAATCTCTTTATGGATGTCTAGTTCCTTTATTAACTTGGGATCAAAAAAAACCCTACCAGCCTGATTATTTTCATAACAGCATTTTAGAAAGCTACTTTGAAATGGAAATTAGAAAGATTGAAAAAAACAACTGTGAGCAAATTTATAATTAGCACAAGGCGAAGTGTTTGRTAAAATACCCACTAGGAAGCTTTCAGGAGTACAATGAAGATGTAATCACATCGATGTTTTGTTTTTTGCAACAAAATAAGAACTAAAATGTCCRTAGGGTGACAGGCTCAGACTTTGAAGGGACATCCAGGCACCCAAAGAGCAGGATCGGCCCTATGGGTGTCTCCATGCTCTTGTAGTGCAAGGGGATAAGTACTTGGGGTCATCCCCAGAGGGTCTCCAAGCCCTTTGCAGCATCCATCTGTTCTCCCAGGTAATTACCAGACCTTCTCTCGGGTGTTCATGCCCCAAATCTGCACCCAGCCCCGTGACCAAGCCAGGAGCGCTGCCAAGACTGAAGGTGGGAATCTCCATCCCACAGCTCCCCGGTCCCTCACCCCACACCCCGGCCTCACCTTTCTGCTGAACTCCTGCGCTTTCTGCTTCCTGTCGCGGCGCRCGGAGTCGGGGCCGGTGTCCCTCGCGGTGTCCCCGCGCTGTGGCCGCAGCAGCGCCAGGCKCAGGGACCGCCCGCGGCACGACCCCACCAGCGCGGCCGCCGCCTCCGGCTGCACCACCGGCGTCCCGTCCACTTCCAGCACGTAATCGCCCGGCTCCAGCCCGCAGGCCGCCGCGGGCGACTCGGGGCTCACGCTGGCCACGCGTGGGGGGCTCTCGCTCGCCAGCTCGAAGCCGAAGCACCCCCGGGGTCCGGGGGGGATGCTGGCATGCTGCAGCCGGGACACCACGCCGATGCTCGGGGGGACGTTGTCGCAGCGCCGRGCCAGCCCCAGCAGCGCCTCGCAGCCCAGGGAGGACACGGGCTGTCCCTCGATCTCCAGCACTTCGTCCCCCGGGCGCAGCCCCGCCAGCGCCGCGCTGCTGCCCTCCTGCACCCACAGGATGTAGCACGGCCCCGAGCCGCTTATCCGGAACCCGAAGGACTCGGGCCAGCCCTGGTTGGTTGYCGGCATGGCTGCGACTGGAAAACAAAGGAAAGAAAGGAGTTGTGATGGCTTTTCCATCCTTAGGGACAGCTCCTGGAGATGCCATGTGTAGCCCATCGGGTGAGGGGCTCCCATCTGTGCTGCATCCTCCTCACCATGGGAAAAAAACACCCCAAGATCCTGTATTTCCTCTAGATTTCCTACAAATAACAGCTTTTTTTCCTATCTTTGTCTGCTGGTAGTGCCACTGAGGAGGCCACATTGGCTGCATGTGGCACCCAGC